GGAATGGAGAGTGATGCTGACCGCACCACATGACTGGCTCGCCATGCATGCAATTATGTTGTAACTTTCTGTGTAAGCCAATGAAATGACAGGAAAGGAAAGACGTTGCAGTCAGCCACTTTCACACCGTCTGCACGTTCATTAAGGGAACTAACCATGTTAATTGTTTTGGGGATCTTTATACCTCCCTTGATTTTCTCTCTATTTCTGTGTATTTCGGGCTTTCACGGACATGAAGAATTACGGAAATCTCGAACACAATCCTCTGAATTCGACTTACCCATGTTTGACTGTATATATTTGGGAGTGACGGTGATGAGACATGTTTAGACAGTGCAATGAGCTAAAGTGAAAGACTTCAAAATCTTAGAAAATTTTCGTATTTTACTGAGGACGAGTAGTCTAGATAAGATGTACAGAGAAAAACATTTGAAAGCCAATTGTTACGTAATGAACTCCATAAGTCAGTCTAACCGGTAACCGAAGCAAATAGCTATCATTGATACAAGACACGTTAAAAACATCGTTTTTTTATGTAGGTGTTTTTACACCCCATCAACACGATTTAGATCATTTATGAGGTGGGCTTTCGACCCCACCCGCCAGAGTCAAACCACGCTGAAGGATACAACATACCAGCAGAAAGGCCGAGACACCCAATAAAAATGTTCTAACGACTCGGGAATCCCATATTTCTAACCATGGGTGTTTTTTCACCAATGGGAAAGATGTCACATTTTCTTTCCTAGATTTCTTGAGGACAATTAATTCTGGTAAACAGCACATCATGGTACTTATGCTTTACTTCTGGGGCTTCTGAGTGGTATGCATGGGGAATGATGTAAAAAGTTGATCAAAACAAGGAGTACAATAAAAACAAAGCATGATTTATTTTTTTGCACAAGTCATAATAATATACAGAAAGTCTATGGGAGACGAGCATAATTTTAGGAGAAAAAAAAAAGGAACAATAGGAAGTCTGTGCATACTGAAAGCACTTCTCAGACCCAAAATGATTCCAAAAATAAAATAAATTCAAACATAACAAGAACAAGAATCAGTAAATGTTAAAAAGTGTACTGGACGACAATTGCATTAAAAGTGATAAAAGACAATTGCAGCTATTTCGGGTTTTGGGTTTTTTTCATCTTTACAATAAAAAATACTAAAAGTCTTCGCTGTGAGCAACCAGTGGTAAAAAAAATCTGTGAAATTCTCAGAATTGTTTAAGCGAAAATGCTAAATGGATCCAAACTCTCAGGGTTTTTTTGGTCACATTTTACTCACCACAAGTGGTACAGTTTGTTCTTGAGTCAGCGGTCCATTACATCCAGTGTCCATATTTGGTCACATGACGCATTTATGACCAAACAAATTGTCTCAAAACCACAACACATGACCAATATGATGACCATTCTCCGTCATTTTTCTTTTCTGGGCAAGGAGCCAGGATGGTACAGTGACAAGTGTCGCTCATCAAGCCAGACCCACAAAGCACTGTTTGTCATTTATGATAATGTACAGTAGTGAAGCGTATAGACCATGCTGTAGAGCGTCAATATGAGCTACATATATGTGATTATTATTATTTTATCATTATTACCATTATGATTATACCCTGCGTCAATGGGAATCCAAAATGGGGGGGAAATTGCATGGTGAAACATTCATCTACTCTCTGGTGATAAGAACATTTGTGTTATGTCGCGGTGGAATCAGGCGCTCGTCAAAATTTGGGCATATGGAGTTATTGGCATCATCGTAAAGGCTGTTTATTTGCTTTGCCTTGCCTTTGGTGAAAAATTTTAAAATCTATCTCGAATAGAAGTCGAAATATTTGTGATTGAAAGAGGTGGGGGTCGCCTGATTTCAGAGGTAAAAATTAGTGAGAAAATGGCCGCCAAAGTTATATGTGACTTCCATAGTTTGAGAGCCTTTGGAAACTGAAAATTGAAATTTGTTCTGCCTTCAATCACCGTATTTCTGTAACATCCACACAGAAATGAGTCCTTTAAATGGACATAAAAGGTGTAAAGCCAAAAAAAGAATTTTTTTTCAAAATTGCTCGACCGCCAGAAAAATGCCAATTTCTTTGATTTCTTTATTTTGATGAGCGCCTGATTTCACCACGATGCATCACATTTCAGTAATATACTAACACAATACTAGAATATTCAAGAAAGGAATGTGATCATTAAAACAGAATAGAAGTGTCCATCTAAACAAAGAGCCTATATCACAAAAAAATAGAAATAAAAATACACTTATAACAATATCTTGTATTTAAAATCTGGCCTTGCGTTGGAAAAATGTAGGCTAAACAAGTTATTTTCATTTTAGTTAGCCTTTTGCATAGCTGCCAACCGTTCCGTAAAAAATGGAACTGCACCTTATTTGGGGTCTGTGTACGTTTGTATATATTCTCGGCCGTCGCACCATATTTTTAAAAAAAATAGGCGAATTTCTCTAAAATACGCACCTGGCGGGGCCGAATCGTGAGAGAGACCAAAGGAAAGAAGACTGATGAAAAGAGAGTGGTAGCAAATCAGACTGCTGCACGGTGACCTATGCAGAGCTTATGCTCATTTTCTTTTGTTCTTTATAGAATGTTTGAAAACACAAATGTATGCCTTCAAACAAGAGAACCACTTATCCATACCCTGGAACCCATTCTTATGGACTGTCTGAAGGAAATACCGTCATGTTTTTTTAAGCCAAGTGCCATTTTATCTGGGGACCTTCTCTGCATTGATCACAAGAACAGTTTTGCACAGAGACAATGTGGACATCAGAGTTGGATCAAGTACTCTGAGTGCGATTGACTAGCTCAGCATGAAGGAGAGGGGTAAGTTTTATGAACATGTGAAGAGCTACTGCATGGTAGCTTGTGAGTACATTATCTCCAGCTTTAATCTCAAGTCAGACATCCTTCGTCATGCTCAGGTTGCAGACACAAAGAAAAGGATGGATGCCAGTTACTCTTCAGTGAGATTTTTCACCTCCAACTCCCCTGTCCTGGTTTTGAAGAGGCAAGATGAGCAGAGAGAAAGGGCTTTGGATGATCTGGAAGAAGAATTCTGCAAATGTCAGCTGGAAAGTTTTGATACTCTTCTTGATCAGCCTATTACCAAACAGTGATTTGCCATTTCAGATATCAAGGATGCAACTGTGAGACCGGAATATGAAAGACTGGCATTCTTCATGCTTAGGCTATTGACAATCCCTCACAGCAACAGTGAAAGTGAAAGGATTTTCAGTCAAGTTCAGAAGAACAAGACAGACTTCAGAGGTTCAATGAAGAATGAAACCCTGTCTCTAACCTCCTCATCACCAAGTCCTACATGGTGGGAAAGTGCTATGAGCAGGAATTTAGCACTGAATTTCTAAAAGCAGCAAAGGGATCCACCACAAAGGTTCATTACAGCAAGGACAACCAGCAGTAGTTTTGTAATTCTCGTATTGGAAAAGACAGCTAACAGCTTTGACATCTTCTTGGACACATATTTAGCAACCTGACACATATTTAAATCTCTAAATGTCTGCTTTGATGTCAGCAATGAAAACAAAGATCTGCAACATTCCTGATCATGCTGGTAAGGTGAGCATTGATGAAGTGTTTGCTTTTTAAAGGTATAACTTAGTTACAGAGCCTTCGCTTTAGGTGTTCTTTATTTGAGTTTTCAAAAGTTGGCAGCTATGCTTTTGCAGGGCTCGCAACACAATTAGGTTATGTAAATGCCGAACAATACAGGTGTTTCAAGAGAGTGACAAACACTAAAAAGGAGGAGAGATTAAGGAGGATAGATATTTAATAGGAAAGAAGGCCCAAACCACACCGGAGCACATGCCAACCACCCACCGAACAAGTTGTAGTGAGTCATTGTGAATGAAACAAAGACAAGTAGAACTGAAATGTTTGCTTGAGAAGCACATTGGCACAATAATGTTCTGCAAAAATTAAGATTGGCATAGAGAAAGAACCGACGGAAAGAACAAATGCCCTCTACAAAAATTAAACTTCTTGCACATAATTTCAGGGCAGAAAGAGAACAAAACTCGACAAAAACATTCACTTTACAAGTCATACAAGAATTTGAAATTACTCAGGAGTGAACCCATCTTATGACATTTTGGTAATAACACCATTTCGGCTATAGCAGGCTTCTTAATATTTATCCACAAGCCCGATCTCATATGTGCAGTTAAAAAGTTCATTCATAGCAGGCATTCGGAAAAGAAGACTTGCTCAGCTATAACTGGGTCCAACCATTGCCAAAATCCTAAAACAAATGGACAAAAAAGCAGAAAAAAGCAAATGAAGCAAAACAACATCCATGGTCATTTAAATTGTACCTACATACCCACAAGAGGCCTAAGTTGACTGTGTAGATGTTACATTTTATGACATGTATACGGGGGGAAGGAGAGAGGCTGGTTATACTTTGGTGTTAACCCAGATTTTTTCAATCGGTGACTTGAATGACTTAGCACGATAGCATGATCTCAGTGTGGCAAAACATCGTCACATTGCCTTTCCGTGGAGTAGTGAGATTTATAATGAAAACATGACCGGATGAAAAGTGGGCACCGGGTGGTTGATTTACAGCAGTTTTATGTATGTTCCTTTTCCCAACTGTAGTGACTATTTGATTACAAAATAGTTGTAAAGCACATAGAGTAGAGCCTGTTGTTTTTAACGCTTCCCTTGCACCTCAAATGATGTCTAGTCAACCTACATGAGACTAAGGTAATAAAAAGATGGGATGAGGAGCAAATAATATCACTGGAAAAGAAAGGAAAAATCGGTAGGGGGTAATCTGTGTCATAAACACAATCCTATTTATTACTCATTAGCCACAGTGTATGTAAATGTGGTCCCCGCCCTGCCATAACAGGGACAGCAGGTGCCTACTGTAATATAAGTCCTCAATAGTCCAGGCTAATTGAACATTAACCCAATTCCTATCCCACACTTTTCTTCATTGATGATTACAACAAACTTTGAAAATTCCACCTCCTAAACAAACTCTGAGTATGCAAAGAAAGAATAAGGATTTTTTTTTAAACAACAAAAAAACCCTGCCCCATTTTAGTTTGAAAAAAAAAAAATAGCCAACCTAAAAACAAATTTAAGAGTTAAAAATCACAAGAACAATCAAATCCGAACACAAATTAATATTAATATCAGTCTGACCCCTAAGTCATAACTTGCACAAAAGGAAAACATATTCCAAAATTAACATCTCCCTACACAATGTGGAGATATCTTGGACCTTTCAATCCAAGGGACGTACATAAACCAGTAGGTAAAAAGTAATTGTAGAAGTTTTACACTGCAACAACACAATTCAGATCAATTTTGACTCAACTTTCTTCAGACCACTCCGTAGCTAACACGAAATGACAGCCACATCTTAGAAGTCACTTAGCAAACGTTTCAAAGGTTCCCACGTGTTCTTTTCCAAACGGACCACCAGGTTTCGTATGGATTACTCTCGTCAGATCGGTAATGTACAAATAAAGATCAATTAAGATGTAGGTTGCTTTGACCTTGCATGTCATTGTCAAGACCAACTTGCGCTGAGAGGGAAATGCCCCAGCAGACCGTAGATCGATATACTCGATAAAAAAAACAACCTCCACACAGGAATCAAATTCACATCCTCGGTGAGCAACAGTGATGCGCCTAACCGCTATACCACAGATGCCTGTACACCAACAAGTCAGTTTAGAACAATCTAAACTGGAAATCCTGCAAAAACGGGTAATAATGGATGCTCCTTATATTCTTTAGAGTCCAATGAAAGTATATATTACAGCATCCCACTGGAGCTTTTGAATAAAAAGAAGCACATCTCTACACAAAAATGGTCATTTAGCGCTGGGGAAAAAGCAAGACAAAAGAGGTAGGATCATACTGTGCTGCCCTCCAACCACCGGCTTAAGATTGTCCGACAAACGATCATATGAAGACCACTTTGATCTACTATCTTTAACAACTTCATAAAATCATTTATAACGTTATTAAAAAATGCTAAAAGCTGTATTCATCATAACTGACATGTAGCCTTGGTGGCTTTTGCAACAGTCCCAGGAGTGACCTTGTTCCTCAATGAGAGAGGCAGTTTGTCCCGGATGCAGTCACTGATGTACTTGGGAGGGTACTTGTTGGAGAAATGGACCAGGACAATATGTTCAACGTCCTCAAAGAGCTCTGCGTTTTGCGCAATTTCACACAAGTGAGTGTGACCTCTGTCTCTCGCTTTCTGGACCATGTTCTTACCTGAAAACATTAATTTGTAACAATATTAGCACATTCACATTCTCAAAAAAGAAATGGGTACATGGGGAAAGTTTTCAAAGTTAATATCAGCACACTGGCCAACGTACAGCGGACTCGGTGCTACCATTTCTGACCAATGTAGCCTTTGAAACTTTCATTTCTTCGAAGTATCATCAAACCAACTTATACCCACAACCATCAATTCTTGATGTGCACCCCACGAAACAGCATCTTTATATATATGTGCTTATAAAAATTTGGAAGACACATCTTAAACTACTAAAGGAAACAAGAAAACAGGTTTCAAACCTGTACTCTCTTGTCATTTAGCAAAACATGAGCCACAACAATAAAACTACAATGTTAACATCACTTTGTATAATAATGATAGGAAATTAAAGTAATTGTTATTTTTCCAAAGTTTTCTTTTTATCACGCTTCCAGAAACATCAAACTCATAAAATTACTTCAGATACATAAATGAGAAATTAAAAAATGGAAATAAAATATGGTTTATTTCCACTTCTAAATAAACTAAAAAGACGCAGAGCTGCAAAGAAATGTAGTTTAACATTTTTTTTAAAGTTTCTATTTTATTTTGTTGTTGTACAAACTGGCTCAGTGTCCACCACTTCACTATGGAAACTGGTGCCTATAGGTGGTCCCAATGAGAGTGCAGTAAGTGTGGACTTATCAGTCCCATCCTCCATACCAAAAAAGTAAAAGCAGAGACAAACAAATTCCTGTGATGTTGCTGCTGAACTGTGATAGAAGCTGTATCTCGTGTAGAAGCTGATAAAAGAAAAATTTGTATGCAACACCAACAGGAAGGAGAAAGAGCAGACCATATAAATAACGTCAATCAACTTGTCCTTCCAAATTAAGACGGCTGATCACCTTATCTCACAAAAGGATTCAACAGGGTAACAGAACTTTCCACATCAAGAGAAACACCAAACATCATACCTATTTCATCATCAAGGAAAGTTGCTTCTGTTATCAGTAACTTAACCTTCAGCAGATCTGGATTTGGAGGATTCAGGAAAATATCAAAAACTGTGTCACCTGAAAGAAAAGAGATAAATATAGCAAAGATATCAGTTACTATAAAAACAAAAACAATCATCAAAAAAAGGATTCAAGAAAACTTATCAGCTTTCTCACTTGGGAATTGAACTCACAGCTTCTGTGAGCAAAAGCACAGAGCCTAACTATAGCACCAGGCAGCAGCTTTCCCTTTAAAAAAAACTAAACTAGCACTTAGATTTAAAATTGGGATCACTTTTACAATTTACTGTATTTTTCCAACAGCCCTCAGATTCTTAGTCTGTGTAATCTGGGATTGGCAACTTAAAGAAATTATGTTAAAAAAAAATATGATGTCATTTGGACCTTTAACATGTATAGTATAAGGTTTTACGGCGCTCGCAACTGCTAAGGTCATATGAGCGCGGACCTTTAACACCAGGTGCAAGACATCCTGGATGGATACGGTGACACGTAATACAATAATCAATAAACCAATTAGTTTCAGTTAATCCAAAACAGCAAGGCAAACTGTAAGAATGTAACTGGAAATTACATTTTGTTACACAATGTACAAAACATAACAAGTGCGTATTGGATGAATCAATGAACAATTTAAAATTTTACCAATAAAAAAAAATTATTTCAGAGGAAACAAGTTTTACAGAGAATGAGTCCTTTACAAATATTGTTTGGGCACCATTTAAAAAAAAACAATAAATAAATTTTTAAATTCTGAAATTGCCTCTCCCCACAAGTGAATCTTGACTCCGCTTCATCATCATAGCCAGCAAAGGTAACAACATATCTACCTGTATATGCAATCTCAGGAGTAATGCTGACTTCATGGATCTCTCTACCCTCCCGGTGAAGAGCTGCCACCTCAAAGCCTTCCATTCCCCTGTATTCCTCTTTGAGCCTCTTCTCTTCCTTGTACACAATGTAACCCTGACTGCAGATCCGATGCACAGTCGGGAAAGTTTTTACAAAGAACCTGCTGTTGAGCTGAAAGAGACGAAAAAGTGGAAACATAAGGTCAATCTTAGATGGTAGAGATATGTTTCGCCTTCATCGACATATTTCAGATAATTTCAGGGGTGGGCTGCTTTGATACTGCCTGTCAGGGTTAACCCCGACAGTCTAGATTAATACAATGTCACAGTAGACAAATATACTCAATAAGAAAAACTTTCTTACTTGGGAATCAAACTTCATGCCCTCTGCAGACAATTGCCAAGAGCTTTACTATTATTACTGCACAGACACAGTCAGTCTTAAGTATCCTTTTCAGATGGCAATAGACAAGAAATAGAAGCAAATTTCGTACTCCGCCAAGTAGCCTGACAAATACACTGTATCAAGCCAAGCCGTAGTGACCATCGCCGCATACCCAGGAGTTCTGGTAGTGAAGCTGAGAAGTGCTGCTGCCTCTCAGCTAGATAATCAACTTGTAATTAAGTCCTATGAGTGCCACTGACACATCCAGAATGGAGTGTTTGCAGATATAATAGCAGTTGTAGCAATTACTATTTACTATAGAGTACATTAAATCATGTCCTTGTATATATGACTATTTATGTTTTTTTTAAATGTCACAATAAGCGTCCAGTAAGACACTAATGCCATATAATAATTTTGTAAAACCACTTGCTGAGAACATTTTATGATTACCATATACATGCAGTGTGGGTATTCACAGCAACAGCAGCAGTGCAAATTTCCACTAAGTTAGTCAAGACAAAAGGCAGAACCTCAACTTGCACACTCCATGTTTTCCATTCAATAAAATAATGCCTGTGGCTATGCGTATGGAGCCTTCTGGCTATGTGTACAGCCTTCTAAAGTATAGATTTAAATCTAATTAAGTATGCTCACTGCCTTGATAATCACTCTAGGCCTACCGTACTTATTGGACCTGTGCTGTTATGGATTCTACCATCTTTCGGCCATTTGGTTTATTTGGTAATTTTATAGAATCACTCGCGTTTCATTTAGGGTGTTACCTTGTAGCTTTTCAGGGCCCTGAACACAATTTGGCATAATTAATAGATGTTACGGCACATCATTTTAGGGTGGGGGGGGGCTCTACTAAAAAGCCATTACATGTAATCGCTCGTTGAGGAGGACCCCCTGAAACCCTCCTAATGACTACAAAAGCATGCATAAACCCAAAACAAAAAAAAACGCCTAAAATATTGTGTGTGTCCCCCCCCCCCCCCCCCTACAAATACATTGAGAAAAACGAGCATGGGTAGCAGCACGAGATGGGAGTGATTCTATAAAAATACAGTTCAGTTTCTTCTGGAAAGGTTTCAAGCGAGGGCGGTACACAGAGCCACTTCCAAAAAATAATTATTTACAAACACAGCATCATCCCTTATTGGCATTTTGATCATCTGCCCAATTTCTTGTAGATTGCTGCCATCAGCTCCCCTCTGCAAAGCAAAATACAAATTTGAAACTCAACTTACCCTTACACAATCCCCCTCTGCAAACGGTAGAACCTTTACATTCTCAAGAGCTTCCACAGTCTCAGCCATTTCATAATGAGCTTTCGTGACTGACTTCAGGTTATCCACTAAGTGGGGAGGAACAAAATAACGAGCTGGTTTCATTCCATTCAAGCCTCGTTTCGACACATGATTCGCCACAGCTCCAATGTGATCCACATGACCATGCCTGCATTGGAAAAGAAAAGTATAATAATTAAATTACCAACAAAAAAAAAACAAAAAAATATAGGCCTATATTAAAAACTTACCCTCAGTGCAGGAAAAGTTGACATTTGAATTTTTTTTTAAATAAAGAAAGAAAATAATTATTTACAAGACAATATAAATCAGGGCATAATTGTTCAATTATGGACATTAAAAAAAGGCTGGCTGTACATTTCTCCAATCGATCGGGAAAATAAACTTGAACTCTATTTCTCCGAACGGTTTGCGAATGGAGTGGAACTCGTGTGTGTAAGGTGTGAATCAGAGGAGAGGGAGGGCGTGGACGGATTTTTTTGTGATTTAGTTTTGCTTCAGGGGTGGCTAAATGCAAAATAGGTTACTGCCAAAAGTCGAGCGGTCTTGTTTTCTTGCAGTACCTTTTGAAGGCATTTTCAAATGAAGTTGCCCCAACCACAATTTAAGTATCTGTATATTCACTGATTCAGACATCTAAAAATCTCTAGCTCCAGAAAATGAATTTGATACCAAAAAAATGCTTTTTCCCAGTCCTCGTAAAATGGCAGATTGAAAGGTGATGCCAAAATCTTGCAAATAACACAAAAAAATCAAAAGTTTAAGCCTGCCAGTGGACCACTATAATCTGTCCCTGTAGGATTATGCGATTGTGTGACCGCGTTTTCTCGCGTAATTCTGCAACATTAGCATAATTTTTGGATTCCCCCCGTTTTTTTTCATTTTTCACCAAAAAATTAACGCCTCGCAATGTGACTAAAGGGAAGTAATCAGCGTAATAAGTCTCATTTAATGAAAAGTTGGTTATTTCCCTTGTTAGAAGATAATAATAATAATAATAATTGCATTTATATAGCGCATATCCATGCTCAAGAGCATGCTCTATGCGCTTTACAACTATTATTTCCCCAACAGACCCTCTGAGACAACTCAGAAACATTCTCAGCTTCCGAGGAAGCATACAGTGCAAGCTGCGGATTTCAGGCGTTCAACACTATCAAACTGACAAGATCTTTCGCTGTCTATAGCCGGGTACCCATTTTCACCTAGGTGAAGTGAGGAAAATTTGTGCAAAGTGATTTTCCCAAGGACGGGATTCGAATCCGCGACCTTACGGTTGCGAGTCTGAGAGCGTAACCACTAGGCCACCGACTGATTATAATGGGTTAGTATGTTCCTTGAGCATGTTCTATTTTTCAATTAATCAAAAGTACTTGTTCTCATGTCTGCTGATGTTTCATGTTTGACAGGTGTCCCTGGTTTTAGTGATGTGCCAGCATCAGAGGTCCAGATGTCCTTCCCCCCCC